CCCCTTCTGGTGGCCCTCCAGGAGGTCTCAGGGCCTCCTCGCTCTTCAAGGTGTCCCCCCCCCTACATCTCAGGAAGGCAAATATTTCATGGAAAACAAGTATTTTAACCCAAATTTAATTTAACCCCTCTCCCAACGACCTTTTGAAGGCCTCTTGGGTGCTGATGTTCCTCCTCCAACCCTCTGCCCGAGGTTCTCACATGGAGATGGAGCTCCTCCTCGACGTCTCGGCCAACTTGATTTTTTTTTGCCCAAATCGTCCCTTAATCAACCCATTAAATGACTTTTTTTTTCCATCTTGGAGCACCCCATGGTGGTGGTCTCCTCTTCCTTCCACCAGGAAGCCTCTTGTGGTCCTCGAGCTCTTCTGGTGGACACCTTCCACCAGACCAAGTTGCTCAAAGCCCAAAGGATTTGGGTTTGGGGTGGTCCCCACCCCAGGGTAGGACCTTCCGCTTGGTTTGGTTGAACCTCATGAGGTTCTTCTCCAGCCCGTCCAGGTCCTTCTAGATGGCATCCTGTCCCACCCCACCGCTCAGCTTGGTGGCCTCCACAAACTCATTGGGGTTGTCCTCCGTCCCACTCGCCAAGCGCTGGTCCCAGTACCACCCCCTGAGGAACACCACTCGTCGCTGGTCACCACCAGGACACAGAGCTGGTGACCACAACTCCTTGAGTGGGACCATCCAGCTGGTTCCTCGTCCACCGAGTGGTCCATCTGTCAAACCCACCTCCCTCCAACTTCGACACCAGGACACGTCGCGTGGGACAGAATTCCTAAAAAACACGAATTCTGGGTGGAAGGAACGTGTCTCCCCACGAGGGACCACGGGTGGTGGAGCTTCACAAGACCTTCACAAGACCTTTGTCCCTCCAACTTCAACACCAGGACACGTCGCGTGGGACAGAATTCCTAAAAAACACGAATTCTGGGTGGAAGGAACGTGTCTCCCCACGAGGGACCGTGGGTGGTGGAGCTTCACAAGACCTTTGAGGGGACCAGGAACCACGTTTTGGGGTTCACCTCCCAGATGCCACCTCCCCTTCTCCAATGGGATGTCCTCCCGGGAGGCCCTGAGCTCCCTCTGGCCTCGTTGACCCCGCGCCAGAAGCTTTTTATGGAGCTGGAGCAGCTTGTTTTTAACTTGAGGGATCATCCCCGAGGATGGAGGTGCCAGGTAATGAAGCGGCTCGTTAACGAGTGCGCCCGCTCGTTAAAACCCTGACTCGCCGCGCTATTTGGGTGCCGCTGAGTTCACCCGGTGGCAGCCGTAACGGGATGTTCCCCTCGGGCGGCGCAAAAAAAGGGACGAGCTGGAAGCCATCGAGAAGAGTCCTCCAGGGTCGGATGACCAAGGGCAGCGCGTGATTGAGGGATGGGAGATGAGCCCAGACCTTCCGGGCGGTGGGAAATCTCCTGGTCTTCCAGGAGAGGGAGACCTGAGCAGCTTTGGGTTGGGGTCAGGATGTCCCACAGCTCTCCTGGATTCAATGGGTTGGGTCCAGGATGTCCTGCAGATCTCCTGGACTTGGTGGTTCGGGTCCGGGATGTCCTGGAGCTCTCCTGGATTCAATGGGTTGGGTCCAGGATGTCCTGCAGCTCTCCTGGACTTGGTGGTTTGGGTCTGGGGCAGGTCTCCTGGATTTGGTGGTTCAGGTCCAGGATGTCCTGCAGATCTCATGGATTCAATGGGTTGGGTCCAAGATGTCCTGCAGCTCTCCTGGACTTGGTGGTTGGGTCCAGGATGTCCTGCAGCTCTCCTGGATTCAATGGGTTGGGTCCAGGATGTCCTGCAGATCTCCTGGATTCAATGGTTTGGGTTCAAGATGTCCTGTAGCTCTCCTGGATTTGGTGGGTTGGCGGGAGACCTGAGCAGCTTTGGGTTGGGGTCAGGATGTCCCACAGCTCTCCTGGATTCAATGGGTTGGGTCCAGGATGTCCTGCAGATCTCCTGGACTTGGTGGTTCGGGTCCGGGATGTCCTGGAGCTCTCCTGGATTCATCTCCTGGATTTGGTGGTTTGAGTCTGGGATGTGCTGCAGCTCTCCTGGACTTGGTGCTTGAGTCCAGGATGTCTTGCAGCTATGCTGGACTTGGTGGTTCGGGTCCAGGATGTCCTGCAGCTCTCCTGGACTTGGTGGTTCAGGTCTGGGATGTCCTACAGCTCTCCTGGATTTGGTGGGTTGGCTCTAGAATGTCCCACAGCTCTCCTGGATTCAATAGGTTGGGTCCAGGATGTCCTGCAGATCTCCTGGATTCAATGGGTTGGGTTCAAGATGTCCTGTATCGCTCCTGGATTTGGTGGGTTGGCTCCAGGATTTGGGTTCAAGATGTCCTGTAGCTCTCCTGGATTTGGTGGGTTGGCTCCAGGATGTCCCACAGCTCTCCTGGATTTCGTGAGTTGGGTCCAGGATGTACTGGAGCTCTCCTGGACTTACTTGGTGGTTCGAGTCCAGGATGTCCTGCAGCTCTCCTGGACTTAGTGGTTCAGGTCCAGGATGTCCTGGAGCTCTCCTGGACTTGGTAGTTTGAGTCCAGGATGTCTTGCAGCTATGCTGGACTTGATGGTTTGGGTCCAGGATGTCCTGGAGCTCTCCTGGACTTGGTGGTTTGAGTCCAGGATGTCCTGCAGCTCTTCTGGATTTGGTGGGCTGGCTCCAGGATGTCCTGCAGCAATCCTGGACTTGATGGTTGGGTCTGGGATGTCCTGCAGCTCTCCTGGACTTAGTGGTTCAGGTCCAGGATGTACTGGAGCTCTCCTGGACTTGGTGGTTCAGGTCCAGGATGTACAGGACTTCTCCTGGACTTGGTGGTTGGGGTCTGGGATGTCCCACAGCTCTCCTGGACTTGGTGGTTGGGGTCCAGAATATCCTGCAGCTCTTCTGGATTCAGTGAGTTGGGTCCAGGATGTCCCACAGCTCTCCTGGATTCAATGGGTTGGGTCCAGGATGTCCTGCAGCTCTCCTGGATTTGATGGTTCAGGTCCAGGATGTCCCACAGCTCTCCTGGATTCAATGGGTTGGGTCCAGGATGTCCTGCAGCTCTCCTGGATTTGATGGTTCAGGTCCAGGATGTCCCACAGCTCTCCTGGATTCAATGGGTTGGATCTGGGATGTCCTGGAGCTCTCCTGGACTTGGTAGTTTGAGTCCAGGATGTCTTGCAGCTATGCTGGACTTGATGGTTTGGGTCCAGGATGTCCTGGAGCTCTCCTGGACTTGGTGGTTCGAGTCCAGGATGTCCTACAGCTCTCCTGGACTTGATGGTTGGGTCCAGGATGTCCTGGAGCTCTCCTGGATTCAGTGGGTTGGGTCCAGGATGTCCTACAGCTCTCCTGGACTTGGTGGTTCAGGTCCAGGATGTACAGGACTTCTCCTGGACTTGGTGGTTGGGGTCTGGGATGTCCCACAGCTCTCCTGGACTTGGTGGTTGGGGTCCAGAATATCCTGCAGCTCTTCTGGATTCAGTGAGTTGGGTCCAGGATGTCCCACAGCTCTCCTGGACTTGGTGGTTCAGGTGCAGGATTTCCCACAGCTCTCCTGGATTTTGTGGGTTGGCTCCAGAATGTCCCACAGCTCTCCTGGATTCAATGGGTTGGGTCCAGGATGTTCTGCAGCTCTCCTGGACTTGGTGGTTGGGGTTCAGGCTGTCCTGCAGCTCTCCTGGATTTGATGGTTCAGGTCCAGGATGTCCCACAGCTCTCCTGGATTCAATGGTTTGGGTCCAGGATGTCCTACAGCTCTCCTGGACTCGGTGGTTCAGGTCCAGGATGTCCCGCAGCGCTCCTGGATTTGGTGGGTTGGCTCCAGAATGTCCCACAGCTCTCCTGGATTCAGTGTGTTGGGTCCAGGATGTCCTACAGCTCTCCTGGACTTGGTGGTTGGGGTTCAGGCTGTCCTGCAGCTCTCCTGGATTTGATGGATCAGGCCCAGGATGTCCTGCAGATCTTATGGATTCAGTGGGTTGGATTCAGGATGTCCTGCAGCTCTCCTGGACTTGGTGGTTTGGGTCCAGGATGTCCTGCAGCTCTGCTGGACTTGGTGGTTTGGGTCCAGGATGTACATCCTGCAGCTCTCCTGGATTCAGTGTGTTGGGTCCAGGATGTCCTACAGCTCTCCTGGACTTGGTGGTTCAGGTGCAGGATTTCCCACAGCTCTCCTGGATTTTGTGGGTTGGCTCCAGAATGTCCCACAGCTCTCCTGGATTCAATGGGTTGGGTCCAGGATGTTCTGCAGCTCTCCTGGACTTGGTGGTTGGGGTTCAGGCTGTCCTGCAGCTCTCCTGGATTTGATGGTTCAGGTCCAGGATGTCCCACAGCTCTCCTGGATTCAATGGTTTGGGTCCAGGATGTCCTACAGCTCTCCTGGACTCGGTGGTTCAGGTCCAGGATGTCCCGCAGCGCTCCTGGATTTGGTGGGTTGGCTCCAGAATGTCCCACAGCTCTCCTGGATTCAATGGGTTGAGTCCAGGCTGTCCTGCAGCTCTCCTGGACTTGGTGGTTGGGGTTCAGGCTGTCCTGCAGCTCTCCTGGATTTGATGGATCAGGCCCAGGATGTCCTGCAGATCTTATGGATTCAGTGGGTTGGATTCAGGATGTCCTGCAGCTCTCCTGGACTTGGTGGTTTGGGTCCAGGATGTCCTGCAGCTCTGCTGGACTTGGTGGTTTGGGTCCAGGATGTACAGGAGCTCTCCTGGACTTGGTGGTTCAGGTCCAGGGTGTCCCACAGCTCCCCTGGACTTGGTGGTTTGGGTCCAGGATGTACAGGAGCTCTCCTGGACTTGGTGGTTCGGGTCCAGGATGTCCCACAGCTCTCCTGGACTTGCTGGTTCGGGTCCAGGATCTCCTGCAGCTCTTCTGGATTCAGTGGGTTGGGTCCAGGATGTCCTACAGCTCCCCTGGACTTGGTGGTTGGGTCTGGGATGTCCCACAGCTCTCCTGAACTCGGTGGGTTGGATTTGGGATGTCCTGCAGCTCTCCTGGACTTGGTGGTTCGGGTCCAGGATGTCCCGCAGCTCTCCTGGACTTGGTGGGTTGCCCCACAGAGGGTCTCCTCCATCTTTTCTTCCTCAAAACCTTTTTCTTCCTCGCGGGATGTCCTGGGGCTTTCCTGGACTTGATGGTTGGGTCTGGGATGTCCTGCAGCTCTCCTGGACTTGGTGGTTCAGGTCCAGGATGTCCTACAGCTCTCCTGGACTCGATGGGTTGCCCCACAGAGGGTCTCCTCCATCTTTTCTTCCTCAAAACCTTTTTCTTCCTCAAACCCCAGCCCCAATCCCAACTCGGGGCCGTGTAACCCAACCTTCTCTTGTCCCCTTTCCACCGGCCGCTTCCCGGTGGGACCATCAGGGGGGTGTCCAGCCCTTTGTCCCATCCCATCCCATCCCCCCCCGGGTGCCGGGTTACGGCGCCGTGCTGGGACAAGGACATTTCTCCTGCCGGCTGGCGGTGACAAAGCTCATAGCGCAGTTTTGGGGGGGGTGACGGTGACGTGACGTGTCGTCCCCCCCCCCTCCCTCTCCCGGGGGCTGGCATCTCCCCCGGCGTTGCTGCTCCCTGAGGTCACCCTCCCAAATTCCACCACGGAGGAGATGGACATGGACACGATGTTGTGGGGAGGGGGGTGTTGAGCCACCAGACCCTTCTCCTGGGCTTGGCGACCCCTTTTTGATCCTCACGAGCCCCACGGGACCTCCAAGAAGTGCTGGGGGGGGGGG